ATCTTGATGGCAAGCTTTTTATATTGTACCTCAAAGTCTTCATGTTTTAACCAAAGCAGCTTCATTCTGCAGTGAATGGTTTGTGCTGAAGACACTTTGCTTACCTCCTCAGAGTCTAGGCTGAATGCCTGGAGAATGCACAGATCTTCCATCTAAGGCAGATATGTTTTCTTTACTTCTTTGACCCCTGAGACATTATCTACTCACCACAGTCTCTGAAATTCCTGCTATAATTAAGTGCTAAATGTGGGGGAAAGATCATGTTGGTGTGGCTTTGGGTTAGAAGTAGGAAAATTCAGATGGAAGGAGTATTGTCACTAAGACGACAGAAGAACTGAGCCTCTGTCCCCACCCCACCCCCACAGAGATCAATAATTAGACTGCTCTCCATGAACAGAAACAGCCCTGGGAGGGCGTAGGTGTCCACCTTAGAAACATCCGCAACAGAGTAGAACAAAAAACCTGAGAATAACTGGACAAAAGAGCTTCATTTTGTCTGTGTCATCCCATCCTCCAGGCTGGCATTGCTCAGCGCCAGGAAGGAGAAGTTTCCCTCACCAACAAAGGGAGAATAGGGTGACTGGCTTCCCTAGCTTTCTGGGACACTGCAGGAAAGACCCAGTTCAGTTTCACTTCGCCCAGAGATGAGCAAAGCTGAGAGGTATGGAGATGACTAGGAACAGAGAAGGAGGGCGGGGGGACTACCAGGTCCAGTCCTGCAATGGGAGCAACCATAGCTCCAAGGAGCCCCGCTGCTTCCACCACGTAAGAAACCAGTGCCCAGTACAGTCTCTTTCAACTCCCTGCAGATTTCTCCACTGAGAAATCTGGCTTTGCCCCTCACTGGCTTTCACCTCCGTGGTCATCAATTGCCTGAGTTTCTCCTCGATCCCTCCCCACCACACACACAGCCTGGGACCCTTCCCAGTGGCCAGTCCCAGCCTCTGTGGCTGCACAAGAGCAGGGTGCCAACCTGTGCACGTCCATGCTCTCAGCCTGCCCCCCATTACCAGCCTTCACGGCTGCGTGTGCATCTAGCAAGACCTGCAATCAAGGATGCCCATGCTGACAGTCAAGGCCCCCCCCCAGAGGCCTCTGGGCTTTCAGCTTTCAGCCCTGTCTCTTGTTACTGGCCTGAATCTCAACTCCTGCTCGCTCCTCCAGTTGTGTACCTGCACACCCCCAGCCTGGCTCGCATCACAAACCTCTACTGCATGCTCACCCCTGTGGTGAGACCCTTCATCCATGGGAGTGAGTGGGATGATGTATTCAAAGTGCTGAAAGAAAGAAAAAAAGAAAAAACTGCCAACCAGAAGACTTTACCTGCCAAAGTTGTCCATAGAAATTAAGGGGAGATAGACTTTCCCAAACAAAAAGAAGAAAGTTGAGCTAGTTCATCACCACAAGACTTTTCTTTCAAGAAGTGCCGAAAGAGAGTTCTTCACACTGAAAAGACAGTACAATAATTACTAACATGAAATCATATGAAAATATACAACACACTGGTTAAGCTAAGTGTATAGTCAGATTCAGAATACTCTAATATGGTGATGTGTTAAACACAACTCTACTTAAAGGCTAGAGTACAAAAATATTTTAAGTAGCCATAGTAATTTATTAATGGATACACAGTATCAAAAAAGTATAAATCATGACATCAAAAACAAACTAGAGAGAGGAGGAGTGAAAGTATATGTTTTATATGCAATCAAAGTTATTAACAGGTTAAAATTAGACTGTTATATCTATAAAATGTTTCAAGTAAGCCTCAGGTTAACTGCAAAGCAAGAACCTATAGTAGATAAAGAGAAAGGAATTAAAGCATACCACTATGGAAAAATCATCAATTTTAAAGGAAGGCATCAAGAGATGAAAAAGATAAAAGTACAAAACAGCAAGAAAACTATATAGTGGTACTAAGTTATTAACTATGAATAATTATTTTAAATGTAAATGGCTCAAAGTGAAAGGACCTCTGTATTCTAATGTTCATTGCAGGGTTATTTAAAATAGCCAAGATAAGGAAATGTGGTGTATACATAAAATAGAATATTATTCAGCCATAAAAAATGGTTCAACATGGGTGACACTTGAGAGCATTATGCTGAGTAATATAAGACAGAGAAAGATAAATGCTGTATGATCTCACTTATATATGAAATCAAAAAACATTGAACTCTGTATGAGGTGATGGATATTAACTTCTGTGATAATAATTTCACTATATGTGTCAATCAAACTATCGTGCTGTACACCTTAAACTTACAAAGTGAGGTATGTCAGTTACTTTTCAATAAAACTGGAAGAAAATGTTAAATTCATAGTAGGCTGAAAGTTACCAAGGGCTGGGAGATAAGGGAAATGGGACAATGCTGGTCAGAATGTGGAAGCCTCCAGTTATAAGATGTCTAACTGCTGGGGATCTGATATACAGCATGATGACTTACAGCTAACAATGCTATATTGTACACTCACAATTTGCTAGTATTCTTAAATGTTCTCACCATAGCAACAAAAATGGTAATTATAGGAGGTGAAGGCTGTATTATTATGGTAAACATTTCATAATATATATGTGTATCAAATCATCACATTGCCTTAAACTTGTAATCATCAAACTGTGTATCTCAATAAAGCTTGGAAATAACATAAAAGCTCAGTCTTTATTGGAGTAACTGATTTGAGGATTATATACCTATATAATCCATGTATTCTCAAATGTAAATATGTTCACATGTTTATGAATAAATTAGCTTACTTACTTAACTGTTTTCCTTAATTTAAAAATTTTCTTCTGGGAATGCTGCTAATTTTACTTTGGAAAGATTTTACTATAGGATGACTGATGACTCATTTAAAAACTCTTTACATTATATAGCAGCTCTAAACACTTTATCACAACCTCCTTATCCAATACACTCTTGGACAGGCTATAATTTCTCTAAGAATTTTTCTAAGTATTCCACATAGACTCATTTGGATATCCTTTTTAAATAATAATGAATACCTAACATTTCTCATTCTTTTGTGGATGCATTAAAATCTTTTACTGTTCCATGGATAAAATCTTTCAATGTTTTAAATTTATTTTTAAAATGCTAAATTAAAATGGCAGCTACTTTATTGATACATATAGAAATCTTTTTTCTTTATATGTATAAAACAACACATCTATATTGTTCATTTGCCTTCATTAACAAACATTCTAATATGAAAGTAATGCATTACAGAATATTGGCAATTAGATACACAGTATGCAAAAGAAAATTAAAACCATCTACCTGTTATTCCACCATCGAGAGAGAACTGCCACCCAATTATTGTGCTTCCTTATGGTAGCATAGGCATAACTCTGTACCATTCAACACAATTTTATGCTTATGTTAGATGATGAAGGGACAAATCCAAAGTATTAAGTAACTACTGTCTCATAGTGTATATTGTTCAGAAGTCAATTTTACTTCATTTTTTAACCTTCACTAATTCTGTAAGGAACATCTTTTTTCCTCAGGGTTTTAAACATGAAACCACAGCCTCCCAGAAGTATAGTTACAACATTAGCAGTTGCACTATTAGCAGACTGCAGAGCTCAGACTCATACTCCGTTCTCCTGACATCTCAGACCCCAACATTCTTCCCCCAGCAACCCAGCTCCCTCATATATTTGGATTCCGGCTACAGTTTGTCCTTTTGACTAAATTAAAAATCATTCTAAAAGTTTGCCTTGAAACACCCTCAGAGTGTTAGTAAATTAAAGCTAAATCTCAAGTATAAATTTTCAAGCAATTAGTTTTGGTTTTGCCGGAGCAGAACACCCCACAGATGATGCCGAATAAAAACTATTTACACACTATGATAGTGCATTTCTTGTAAAAACGTTGGGTCTGTAGCAGCGATTTGCTAATCAAATTCAGAATTTGATTTGAAATGCCTCCGGCAGGCAGCCAATCCAGTTATGAAAGAACAGAAGCAAAAACCAGAACCCTGGTGAGTCTCCCCCAGAAGCTAGCTAGGTCCTTTGCTCTCATCAGCAAACTGGTTCCATAGGAAATCACTGCAATTGCTCCTAAAATAAAATGTCGTTAATTTTTTCAATAAATTATTGGACTGTACGAGACACAAAACATGTACATTTTGGAATCTAGAGTTATAAAATATTCTGACATGTTTTAATATAAACAGGAACATTTCCAATGATTGCTTGGATCGAAAATGTTTTTCCACTTGACATTTGTTTATACTTCCTAGGAAAGAAACTCTATTTATGGATAACTGAATAACACAAATAAACATCAGAGAGAGCTGAAAAATCAGCTTTGATTATGCATGAAAATCTACAATGTCATTGTGTACTCTTATGCTGTGTTCTGATTGCCTGTTTATTTTTACAGAACTGCTGGTGAGCCTATGGAAGAGGAGCCAGCCCTCTGAAGGGCCAAGGCCTCCCCAGCCCCCACCCGGATATTTCCTGTGTGTGACATCATTGTGTACCCCCCACCACCCCAGCACCTTCAGACATGTCTTGTCTGCTGCCTGGGTGGCACAGATTCGATGGAACATAAACACTGGGCACAGAATTCTGAACAGCAGCTTCACTTGTTCTTTGGATGGACTTGAAAGGGCATTAAGGATTCCTTAAAAGTAACCGCTGTGATTCTAAAGTTACAGTAAACCACGACTGGAAGAAACTGCTTCCAGCATGCTTTTAATATGCTGGGCAACCCACTCCCAGGCCCAAAGTATGAACCAGAAACATGCAACACAGCATTAGATACTGTTAATTACAGATGCTATGACAGCCAGTGAAATTTTGGGCAAAACCTGAGAAATACTCATTCCTGACATTCTGATCAGTTTTTTATTGGGTAATTTTTTGTCAGACAGTCTTAAATTGTTTACAGGATTTGCTTTCAGCTATGAACGGACAGCAGTTCCCGACAGATCACGCGGCTTGTTTTGTTCTGTTGTGTTTGTTTTTGGCCTTTGTTTTAACACATGGTTCAACTCTTGCTAGTAAGAGTCCAACATGGAGGAACGAAGATGAGGCTTTTTTCAGGGGAATAAAACACGCAGTATCTCAAAGTACAGTGGCAAAAGAACGGCAGACACTGTATGTAATTTTCTGAGCAGTCATGCTGCTTCCCTAGCATCCCTCCCTGAGTTCCGGCACAGGAACTCTGCAGTTCATTTGGGACGATGGCTCCGTCCTGCCAACCCCCTACCCCCACCCCCGCTCCACGTCCCGGGCTCCGAGGACGGTAGCTCTGAGCATATGTTCCACGGAGTATTTTCACTGTCTTTGAAAAAGTGTGTGTCTTTTCAGAGGCCATCTTAATTTGTTCCAAATCTACCAAGAACTTCTCTTACTTTTATTTTAGTCTTCCATCACTTCCTTTCTTCTTGCCTTTCATCCTTCCTTCCTATTAAAAAAAAAAAAGGTGAGGATTACCCACAATCTCCCCAATTACTCAGGAGCTTTGTGAACTTAGTTTATTTTCTTTTTTTACTTCCCAGGTTAACACAGTTGCTTAGTCTGATGTAGTCTTTTAGCTGTAAAACGATTGAGGGTAAATATGGTTTAAGCAATGTTACTGAGTTTTCCAGACCTTTGAAATGTGTTAATGAAGGCATTGCCTATCTGAAGTCACCTAGAATTGAGTTAGCCTTGAAGTTGTGCCTTCATGTGAAAAACACACAACACAAACTGAACCTTTACACATGCTGCCTTAGTGTCAGAGGCAACGAATAAAGGACATTTATTTCTGAGATTAAAAGCAACTTGTTAAATATAAGTAGGTTATCCCCCTCCCTCCCCTTATTCTATTTCAGTGTATAACTCAAACACCTAAAGACATTGATGTAGAATACCTCACAGTATTTAATATCTGATGATGCTTTCAAAAGAGTTGATTTTTTTAATATATTTTCCTAACTCAAAGGATATATTAAAGCCATAAGTGAAGATTGTCATGCTTTTATTCAAAAATCTGAAAGAAACCTTAATTAAAACAAGGTTTTAGGGAAGGCCATGATATGAAAGATATGGAACAATATGGTTTTAGTTAAAGAGGACTCCAACCTGTAAATCAAAGATGAAAGATTTCACTCAAGTAGAATTATATAACTCCCTTTTGTTATACAGTCAGACCATATTTTTCATGCATTTGGTTTTCTTAGGATTACCATTTTAATTTTAAAGACTTTTATTACATATACAAAAATGGCTCGATACTTGGTTTAACATCTCAGAAATTTGAGACACTCTTTGAAATAGGAAATCTGAAATGGAATGTAACTCAGTATTAGTTAAAAATTACTTTCATTGCATAAGGGTAAGGTCAATCTAGACTCACAATAGTAATGAATTTTTTTTCATGATATTTTTAGAGAAATTCATGCCAATCATATTTTCTAGCTCTTGCTATTTTTGCTGTAATTGCTTGAGGAGATTTACTTAAAGAAGCCAAAGGTTTAAAAAAAAAAAAACACACATTCCTCCTCCCTTTAAAAAGGAAAGCTATATCATATTGTAATTGGAAACATAATTGTGACTTTTTAAAATCAACTTTGTAATTACAAATCTCTATTATTCCTCTCAGTCCTGCCAGATATTTTTTTTAGACTTTGAATAAGAAAATGAAATGCTATAATGCAAACATACTAATTTACTGGAGTTCCCTACAATAATTTTACCTTAAACATTATGCACAGCCATCAGTCTGATAAAGCCAAATCACTAGCACATCACCATGGTTTTTAAGATTTAAAATCTTAAAACATTAATGAGTTAATCATACATCCTTCCACGTGATACAGTACCCAGTTGGTTGCAGTTAGAGTCTTCAGGAGACACAGAGAGGCAGATAAACTATGGAGAGGATTAATCACAGCTGAATGTAGTTGAAAGAACCAAATGCCAGTGCTTTTTGATTGTACCATTACAAGATGGTGTGTAGCCCTCAGGAACAGAATGGAGGCTTTTGGAGAGTATCAGTACTTCTTTTGAAACAGAACAGCATTTTTAATTTATTTATTTTTATTTTTTTTAGAACAGCATTTTTTAAAACAGGTAGTTTCACTTGGTATAGTTTTATTCACTTATACATTTCATTTTTATTGCTCACAAGAATTCCCAGTAAGAGGCTGTTAGAAAAACTCTTCTGTAAGCGTTATCAATAATATGTCTCCTCCTATTCCCTGCTTTGAAGGGTAATCACATAGGCTTTCTAAAATCTTATAATAACTCATATATGAGGGATAAAAATAAATGTTTTTGAGAAATCTACTAGTAAACAATACAAGGAGTATAATAAGATTTGATAATAGGTACAAAATGAAAATGTAAAAAAAGCTTCTCAATTATATAGTATAAACTAGGGTTATATATTAAATTGAAATCCAGTTTTATTAAATAATGAAATGGAACTCAAATGATAATAGAGGCTATTTAATCATTGCTTAGTAGGTGAAAACATTTTGAAATGAAATATTTTTAAATATTTTAACAAATCTACATCAATACTTTGGCCACCTGATGTGAAGAGCTGACTCATTGGAAAAGACCCTGATGCCGGGAAAGACTGACAGCTGGAGAAGGGAAAACAGCATGAGATGGTTGGATGGGATCATTGGATCAATGGATCTCAGTTTGAGCAAACTCCGGGAGATAGAGAAAGACAGGGAAGCCTGGCGTGCTGCAGTCCATGGGATCACAAGGAGTCAGACGTGGCATAGCGACTGAACAACAATGACATCAACAGTGGAGACAAAAGCCAGCTTTTGGAGAAAACAGATACTTATGAAAAACTACTGTAAGTCACATTTCTGTGATCAGTTGTAGAAACTGAAATCATGCCTTCGGTTTTGACTATAAACCTTTGTAAAATTCTCCCACACCTCTCACTGGCAACATGGTAGATTTGAAAGCAGGACAGCTCCTCACACAAAGATTTCAGAAACTAAAAGACTGGTTTTCCCCAACAATTCAGTACCATTTTATTTCAGAAGGATTTCCCCAAAGCTTTGTGGATTTACTAGGATTCTTTGAAGATTCCATATAGATATAAAATGATCATGTGGAAGTTCTCCTGGGAGAAAATTTCTCTCCAGTCAGCATTTTCATACTTATTTTTTATCCTAGCATTTATGTTTAGGACAATTTCATTTTTTTTTTTTTTACTATTTATGTTTAGAAAGTTTATGTTTAGAAAATTTGTCTCAGTGGAAATAGCAAATGCCTAATAGCCACAAAACAAATAAGCCAAAGGTTCCTGTCTTAAAAGTGATTCATTCTGAACGTGAAATAATCACTCTGTCATGAGTCTGACATTGTCATTTCTAGCAGCATTTATCTTCTTTTCCTGATTCACGAATGAAATCACTTCACTTACTGAGTAAATTTTTTTTTTTTTAAGTAGTAGTAGGAAACAACACATCTGTTGAACCATTCCATAGGAGGGCATTTTCATCTCCAAAAGAAATGAAAACCAGATGGTGTACGCTAAGAAATGAAGGCATTTTATTGTCTTAAAAATTGATCATCAGCATGGTCATGATCATCACCAAATATATCCTGTGTTCCCAAAGGACACAATTATATTTTGGTCTCCAGCACTATTTTGCACTGTTTACTCCCTTTTGAATGAAGTATTATGAGTACTACATCACTGTCATCAACACCCTCACTAAAATACATAAGTGCCTGCATGGGGCTTCTTTTCCTGGTCATATTTACATTGAAAATCTTACCTTTTGCCTCCTAACAGCTTGTTTTTACTCCATCAAATGCTTTGTGAAGCACAGCATGATTGTCATGTGACCAGAGTATAGTTTTTAGATGAACATGGTATACTCACAAAGGCCTATAGAAAGGTTTTATGCAATGGTTTATGCAACAACTGAGTCAAAGTTATTGATATTCTGGAAATAGCTGGGTCAGACAAGTGAACCTTACACTCTTGATCTGGGGCTGCTTCCGCTTGACCTCAGTGGTAGGGTAACAGGGTTGTAACAATTTCTCAAACCATCTTAATTCTCAAACTGGAACATTTAGCAAATATGTAGTAAATTCACCGTACAGTGCCAATCTTTCTAACCAATAATTTCCTTTCTACTCTTCCCCTCCTTCCCTTGTCCAACTGCCAATACCAAATTGCCATATCGAAACTATCAGAATAATTTCTTAAATCTGTTTCCTTAGTAGAAGCAACCTTGGCAACTTATTTCCTATGACATTACTAGGTACTGCCATTTTATAATATATAAACACTCTAATACATACTCTATCTTTTTTATCTTTCTCTTCAAGAACCACTTGACTTATTGCTATTCTCAGTAGATAAATCAAGTTATTGTGTTTTGATCTACAGCTTTGGACCTGTCATTTGTTTCATTAACACAGACTTTTTCTTTTTGTCTCAAATGCAGTTTTCCACTGTTCTTGGTACTAGCTAATTGTGTTGTGCTAGTTATCACATGGAGAAGATTGTACATAGACTTTCCTTGTCTTTTAGATGATGTTTTATGAGTCAAACCCACAAACAAACTCCAAACTCCACAAACTCCACAAACAAACACAAACTCCAACCTGAAGAAAAAAATGGCAAAGGGGAAATTTTAAATCAGTATAATTTGGAAGTAAGATATTTACAGACTATTCAAAGAAATCCAGAGTTCTTCTATTTCTGTTTGGGCCTTAGGCATGTTAGAAGCAAATGTTGCAACATTGAGTAAGGAGGGTCAAATGTTTCGTGGAACATTGCAGCCATGCCCTTTAGGCTTCAATGTGGTGCCCTTTTTAGGAGTTGGCATTTTATGACATTTGGTTAGAGATCTTGCAACAATTTCTGACTACTGCTTTTATTAACTTAAAACTGAGTAGAATAGTTTTTTTGTTTTTTGTGGTGTTTTTATTATTATAGGAATTAAGAACTCTAAAATCTGAGGAGGAATGGCACTTCCTTGGGTACGCAAGGACTGTTTTTAGATTAAAAATCTTTATATGCTCTTCCTAAACTGTAAGATTCCTAAACTCTTTCTGGGTAAGCAGTGTCAACATCTAGCTCCACAGTAGCTGGGTGATATGTAATTGTCTTTTCAGTGGCGACTGGGCATAAACAGACATGCTGTTAACAGTAAGTGGTCATTCTGTAGATTATAGCCTCGGCAGTTTGTGTCATTTGAAAGCAAATATCCTGATATTTTTAAATAAGGTGGGCAGAGCAGGCAGGGAATCAATACTTGTCACTCTCATGATTAAACAGGGACCAGGTTTGTTGATGTGTATACCAGTCAATCTGGAGTTCCTGGCCTGGTGTAAAATTAAAATGTC